TTGACACGAGAAAAACGAATTTGACGTTAGATTTTCAAAAGAACCAAAATTTCCAAAATGGCCGCCGGTTAAAGTTTAAAATGGCCGAAAATTGTCACCTCGATTTTTTCCTGATGGATTTGCCTTAAACTTGGAATTTGAGAGTATTTTGGCATAAGGTAAACAAATTTGAACTAAGATTTCTAAAAAAATCAATTTTTGGTCTTTTTGAACTTTAACCACCGGCCATTTTGGAAATTTTGGCTTTTTTGAAAATCTAACGTCAAATTCGTTTTTCTCGTGTCAACATACCCCTACTTACCGATTTCCGAGCAAATCCATCGACAAATAACCGGTGTGAATTTTCGGCCATTTGAACTTTAACCGGCCGCTATTTTGAAACGGTTTGAGATAATGACTTCGGGATTGCGCGAAAAATTTTCTTTTTTTATGCTCTTTCGAACGAGGTATCACAAAGGGGATCTTCCCATTTGAAAAAAAAAAGTTAGGGTCCGTAACCCCCCCAAATGGGGGTCCCCCAAAATTTTTTTTGGGGGGGTGGGGGTCAAAAAGTAGCCCCCTTTGATCTAGGAACACCCTCCAAGTTTCAAATCTCTACCTCAATTAGGTCAAAAGTTAGAGGGGGGGGGGAGGGGACTTTTCGAACACCCTGTATACGAGTTATATTTTAGCATTAGGTTAGTCAGCAATAAACGAGTATTACACTCAAAAGTGTAATGCTATGCATATACGAGTTATATGTCAGCATTAAGTTGATCGAGTAGGTATTACAATCCAGAGTCACATATAGAATAATAACTAGCTGACGAAGCTAGCGAAGCTATTTATTATTCTATGCCAGAGTGTGATACTACTTAGGGGTTATGTATGGAGTAGAGTTGTACAATGAGTTATGTATTGACATTAAATTATAGGTTCATATTAATAACTACGGGATGCGCCTCCTGACCGCAACGCGACCCAAACCCCCAACGACGCTTCACGCCCCCTGACCGCAAAGCGATCCAAACCCCCAGCGCCGCTTCGCGAACCCCTCGTGGATTAATGCAAATAGAGTAAGCTAGCTCATCCATAGGGACTAAGTATATCTTATCGGTTGCCAAAAGCGATTTTCCAAACTACGATAGAAACTGAAATATATAGGTACAGGAAAATGGAAAATTAATAACAATTTCCCAGAATTATTGAGAAAGTCAATGATAATGACACTGATTAGATTTCTTGAGGAGGTCAATTATGTAGGTATTTTTCAAATCCTGCAATGACACCTCTAAATTTAAGTTCATCCTGAAATTTCAGGAAAAATGAGCGCTTTCACCAAAATTACTTTTTTTTATTTTTCTGTTACCGCTAAGAAGAATTCTGAGGCATTAAAAAATGGGCATAAAATAAAACTAATAAAAAAGCAAAGGCTCATTAGTTAGTTAGGCTCAGTTAGAGGGGGTACAAGGATGTTAAGAAAAATGACTTCTTCGCAAGAATGTGGGTAATCCTCAAATTAAAGAAAGTGTCAGTAAGACCAACGCACTACCATTTTCCTTTAAATGTAATGGTTAGCAGAAATATGAAGTAAAGAAGTGTTTTTTTGTTTTATTTTCTCATTGGAAAAAAGGCATTGTGAACAAAAAAATTTACAATTTAAAATTCCATGTATTTAGAAAACATCAGCGTGCATATACACATGGCAATAAAACACGGAATTTCTCTCATTATAGGTAGAATCCCCTTATACCCAGAGTTAAGACAACTCGATTATCAGCTGACTGGCAGCCGGCCTTGGCTGGCCATGGAGGCCGAAACGAGTGCACCCAAACAAACGATATTGAGGGATAAGGATCAGGAATCCTGCAATGTCTGTCACACAAAAACAACAACATCAACAAATTGATCAACTGAAAAGAAAATGAGATTGGTTTGTGAATAATTTCTTCATCTATTTTCATTTTGGATCGATGGAAATAACAATTTACTCTTGATAAACCACAATTAGGTAATATTTTCATTATTCTTGTTCACATTCAAGGTACCGCCATCTTGGTGCACTCGTTTCGGCCTCCATGAGCGAGAACCAATCAGAATTGGATTTTTTTTTAGGCCACTTTCAGCCCAACCAAAAGTGAGTTTTCTTAACTCTGGGTTTAAAGGGACTCTAATAATTATAGGACTAAACTTTAATCCTCATCAAAATTATAATAACACTCTATACTTAATGCACGAACGATCATTGCATTATTTCATGAGCATACAATTGACATCAAATGACATCGATACGGAAACAAGAATTTTTTTCAGCTTTATACTGCTGAGTGTATAACTGGTTCAGTGCCAGTGTAATGCTAGCATTACACTAATGAGCGTATAACTGTGTGATGGGTGTTTACCAGTCACGGCCACCAGATGGCGCCGTACTCTTCAATGTGCGATTCCCGTTTTCTCAGAGATTCTAAAGATTTTTTAATCCCGCTTTTAAAAGGCTTCTACAGTTTTTTGCAGTTTACTCAAAATAATAAACACGGACATTAGAGGTTTTTGCATGAGCCGATTTAATTGATACTTCAAGAACAGAAATAAAAATAAGGGCATCTAAAAAAGAAGGAGAAAAAACTTGTTACGCAGAGAATGAAATGAAAAATAAGTGAAACACTCTACAGCCTCCTTAAACATTGCCAACTCTCTATCATTTAGGATACACTTATGTTTTGCAAAAGTTTACAATCTGTTACTTATACACCTATGATGACCAAATTGCTTTATGTATTTCCCTTTTTTTCGCAAAATTCATGGCCTGTTTTCTTTGTCAGATAATTTTTATTCTTCTTTCGTAGGAAGAGAAACTTCAAGACTAAAAAAAGATTTCCTAGAGAATAAAAAATCATCAACATTTCAGTCCAATAGAAAGCCATGACTTCTTTCAATGGTGCACTTGAAGTAATTTGGATGATATCACATTATAGAATACTTTTATTACATAACAAATGAAAAAAAGATACATGAATGTAAGTTCAGTAAAAATTTCAGTCTAATAAATGGACGGATTATTACTTTAACTAGCTAATAATAATTTTAAGATGCTCTAGATAGAGAGCAGTCTTACTCTAGTTGTAAAAAACTCATTTTAATACGCTTTTACAAATTAAAATAATCAGTATTTTATCAAATTATTTTGCAATTTTGAATTTTTTATTTAACTACTTAAAAGAGGAAACAGATATCACATTAGACAAAAGATAAGAAGGTGCTTAGCTTTAATGTTTGGAACATAACTTTACAGTTATATCACAATTAACAGTACTACATAGAGCATTATTGCTTGACATAAAATCTTCTGTCTGATTCATACAGAGTGTTTCAGGCCACTCGTACCAGACCTTTTTCTCGGTTGTTTTAGGTCGGACGAAGTCGGGGACCGCGGAGTTGAATAGGGAATTGACCCCTAGAAATCCGAATTTCGTGGTCCCGAAACCCCCTCTTTACCCCCTAAGGGGGGGATGCTAAAAGTCACTGTTCCCGACCGAATTGCAGATTAATCGCATCAGAATTGAAAAGCACGGAAAATTTCATGTGAAATTGACCCCTAAAAATCCATAATCGGCCCATCCAAGGCCCAAAAATGACCCCCTAAAGAGGGCGACAGTACCCCCCTCCATAATTTCTCTTTGGTCTCAAAATTAACGTAGATTCTCCAGAAATAAATGGTTTGCCAGGTAATCGACCCCGAGAAATCCAAATTTCATGGTACCGAAGCTCCTCTATCTTCCCTTGGGGGGTGAACGGGGGGCCCAATTTTACAAATCGGGGCTCCTTTCCGAATTGCAAATTGATTGCATCCAAATTGAGGAGCAGAACACATTTACATCTTAAGTGACCCCCAAGAGTTCTAATTGACCCCCTTGAACGGCAAAAAGTAACCCCCTGAGGAGGGGGTCTTCGCCCTTTACAAAAATTTCTCATGATTCCTTTTTAGTCGCAAAATTAACGTCGATTCTTCAGAAAAAGACGGTTTCTTCCCATGTGGGCGGGTAGCGGAGCTTAGGGACCATGAAATTCAGAGTCTTCGGGGTCGATTACCTAGAAAACCGTCTTTTTCTGGAGCATCGACGTCAATTTTGCGACCAAAGAGGAATCTTGAGAAATTTTTGGAGATGGCGAAGCCCCCCTCCTCAGGGGGTTACTTTCTGCCGTTCAAGGGGGTCAATTAGAAATCTTGGGGGTCACTTAAGATGTAAATGTGTTCTGCTCCTCAATTTGGATGCAATCAATTTGCGATTCGGAAAGGAGTCCCGATTTGTAAAATTGGGCCCCCCGTTTACCCCCCAAGGGAAGATAGAGGAGCTTCGGGACCATGAAATTTGGATTTCTCGGGGTCGATTACCTGGGAAATCATTTTTTTCTGGAGAATCTACGTCAATTTTGAGACCAAAGAGAAATTATGGAGGGGGGTACCGTCGCCCTCTTTAGGGGGTCATTTTTGGGCCTTGGATGGGCCGATTATGGATTTTTAGGGGTCAATTTCACATGAAGTTTTCCGTGCTTTTCAATTCTGATGCGACTAATACGCAATTCGGTCGAGAACCGTGACTTTTATCATCCCCCAACCCCCCCCTTTACCCTCCAAGGGGGGGTTGGTGGGTTTCGGGACCACGAAATTATTCGGATTCCTTGGGGTCAACCCCGAGGTCCGCGACTTCGTACGACCTAAAACAGGTGTCAGCGACGGTCAACTTACTCTAAACCTAGGTGCCATGTGATGGTAGAATTTTCATATTCATTGCCAAATTGGTTTAAAACCAGTCCTATGTGGGCTGAATCCGTGAACGGATGTAAAAAGATTATCATTATTTACTGGGCTCAAGAAAATTGTTGACCATGACAAATTATTGATTGTCTGAATTTGGTTGCCCCCCCTCCCCCTCCTTCCACCCTACAGTATCAAAAGAGCGAGAAATGCTATTGGAAACCTTAAAAACCCTTAAAACATGCATTTGTGTTGAAATATTTCATTGGCCGCTTTACTGTGTACTGTGGTTCCTTAAAACTCATACATCCGATTTTCACGGAAATTGGAGGTCACCTCAAAGAAGCATCCGAAAAATATGGTTGTACCGGTTTGTACCGTTTGTACTTTGGTATATGGTATCTCTAGGATATATGCTTTCTAAAAGTACCAAAGAGAACCGCGCAACGAACGGCAATGACACTTTGCCAGTCTACAATATTCTGAAAAATTTATTTTTTAAGGCTTATTTTTCAGGGAACTTTGATCTCATGCCCTGCTGCTAAAAATCAATATTGTTGGGATTTGCAGAGGCGGAAATATTTTCCTTTTAATAGAATTACATGGATAGATGATAAGATAACATTTTTCTGTTCGATGATTGTGTTTTTCCTCCATTTTATAAGAGGCACAAGATCCTCTTTTTTATGGAGCAATTTCTTCGGCTCTCGACGTTCAAAACCTACATTTAGACATTTTTGCCGGCTTTTTTGACACAAAATTTGGAAAGAACAGATCAAATTACCATAGGAATCAGCATTTTTTTAACAATATGTCTGATCTAGTGGGAGTTATGAACTAAGCGCCGCTACGGACACGATCACCCACCGAGCGCTGAGGGTGGTTCTTGCTTTTTTGCGCTTTGTCATTGCATGGCAGTGCTGCCATTTCCCGGAAGTAATTCCGAAATTCGGAACTTTTCAAAAAATTGGAAATCCCGAAATCTTCCGAATCCCCAAAATTTTCAGCTATTTTCGGAATTTCCTAGGAATTGGCGGATTTTCGCCAGCTCGACCATTCACTTGATCAAATTTAGGGACTTTTCGATCTAATTAGGCGATCTTAGGAACTAAGGCCGGGCGTATTTCGGAATTTTTTGCCAGAATTTTTTAAGGAATCGGAATTTTTCTCGGAACTTTGGCAAATCAGAATATGTTTCCGGAAATCGGAATCCCTTGATAAAATCAAATGGCAGCGCTGTTGCACGGGACCTCTAAGAAAGTTTCTTTTAGACAGAATGCCACTTTCTGCAAAACACTGCAGCAATAATTGAAAAGTATATAAGATAATATTACAAATCATTAAGATACCTACTGAACTAAGTCAATTTCTTTCTCAAGTAAAATTAAATAATTGGAATTCGATCTGAAACATATGCATCAATAAACTAATACTGCGAATTAACACTTTCTTTTTCGATACATTAAGACGCCTTGAAAAGTAAAAAATCTATCGTCTTATTGACATATTAATTACGTATTAACCCTTTTATCATAGCCATATTAACAGGTTTTTTAGCGTCTTGTAACATAATAATTAATGACTTCTTTACTCTTTCAGATGTATATTACTGCAGACAATTCGAATATACCGGAACTACAGGGAGAAAAATGGTATAAAATTCTTAATGCAAGAGTTATAAATTACAACGGGACAAAATCATTAGAATTGACGGCAACTTCTATTGTTGAGGAAATTAAAACCTTTTAAAATTCTGTAGCATAAATAAAATAAAGTAGCATGAAAATTCTTTCAGTCGATTTTCATTGAACAATTTTCATTGATATTAATAAAAACTTTACATATGAACTGGGTGTAGTATTTGCGAACGTGAGTGTTGCCCGTGTGCACGGGGGGGGGGGGGGCAGCTAGTTATTTATAAAAACTCTTGAGTCAACGTTAGAGGAATACAAGTATTAACTGATTTTCATGGTTGAAAAAATGATGAGAGAAAATAAAGGAGACAAATGACTAACGATATTACATAAATGAACAGAATGAACGAAAAACGATGACAACTACAATATAACACATCTCAATCAACATAGTATAAAATGAAATATATATAATAATAAAAGTTAAAAATAAATGAGTAAATAACGCAAAGTATGAAGTTCATCATCCGTATCAATTTTCAGACTGATCAAATATTACTTGGAGTAAATATGAAGGAGTTGACTAGGCTTACTGCAATGATCTAAGATTGAAGTAAAATAGCAATATAAATGCGGGTAATTGCACAAGAATGAACGAAGAAAAAAAGAGAACAAGAAGCTGAGCTAGAAAAATAACAATAGGAAAAATACTTAGATGAAACCTGAAGGAATGACTAGAAAAAAGCTTGAGAGAAAGTTTGAGATAAATAAAAATCACGGCTTAAAATTCGCATTTAAAATGTATTCTGGTTCCCACAGGGCATAATTTACCATACAGATGGCACAGATGGGAAAGTAAAATCAAAACAAACATAAAAAGAGTTTCCATTATATGTTGTGATGGATTAATTATGCACAGTAAGTATAAATATACAAATTTAAGAAAGGAGAAAAAAAGAGAAAGAAATCAACTGAAAAATTAAAAAACTAACAAGAAATCTTTACTAGAAATTCTCTTCAACAGCAAAAATATTGATAGAGAAATTTTGGCTTGAGTCTTTATGTCAATAACAGTGACTACGGAGATGAGGGTTCGTTAAAACTACCTAATTCATAATGCTCATCATAAAAACAGTACCTACTACCAATCTGAGAAAGGTCACTAAATACTCGACACTGAGCCCTTAAAACCATTTAAATTTCTTTGTAAATTGTGTTGGATCCTTATTTAAGAAAATAGCCAATATCTCTATTCAAGCTTTACTGGACACTTAAAGTTTTTCCAAAAAATCAAAGCCGCAGATGAATGGCTGAAAGGAGAGCATAATCTCTGAATCGGGGAAGAAGTTCATTGAGAGTCAAAAAAATCAACAGGCAAAATCCTGAATATTCAAAAGATAAGAAAATCAGTTCAAAAATTGCTGATCAAAATCCCGGCGATTTAGTGAGCAATAAATTCATGCCCATGACTGAGCTTCATTTGAAAAAGACTTGCTAGACAATTCTCAGTCAATGATTAAAAGCTAATTTTTACAGTAGAAATCAATCCTTTTGAATTTAGCTGGACACATTCACATATTCTCTTCAATTTTTACTATTGACACTCCATCAGTACTAATACTCTACAGTTGCAAGCTTTCAACAAATAAATGTAACGAACTAACTGATAGATTAGTCTTACTTCTGTAGAGAGGGAGAATAAGATCGAGGAGGAGGCAAAGCTAAAGGCCCTGGAGTTACTGATCGCACCGTTGAATCCAACTTCCGAGTTTCATGTTCAAGAAGTAAGGCATCCAAGGAAGGATCTTGAGAGACTGTTCGTAGAGAGTCTCCGAGGGCTTGACGTAGCTGTTGCATTTCTCGGCCAGCGCGAGAGCTCCGTAGGATGTACATTTGCCTTCTTTTCACCTCTTGACTTAGCTGCTCACGCAAGAGCTGGACCTGAAAAATTGAACAGGTCAATGAATTTTTCCTGAAAAGAATGGAATTTTGTTGATAAGGTGTGTTTCAAAACTTGAGCAGACTGAGTCGAGGTACTTACGTCTTGACTTTCTTTGGTTTTTTTTAGAAATCTTAAGTTCAAAAGTGTTAATTTTATGCCAAAATACCCTAGAATTCAAAGTTTTAGGCAAATCCATCAGCAAAACACCGAAGTGGCAATTTTCGGCCATTTTGAACTTCAACCGGCGGCCATTTTAGAAATATCGTTTTTTTTTTAAAAAAACTAACGTCAAGTTCGTTTTTCTCGTGTGAAAATACCTCTAAATACTGATTTTCGCGCAAATCCATCGACAAATAACCGGTGTGAAATTTCGGCCAGTTTGAACTTTAACCGGCCGCCATTTTAAAACGGTTTGACATATTGACTTCGGGTTTGCGCGCAAAGTTTTCTTTTTTTAAGCGCTATGAACGAGGTATCACTAAGGGGGTCTTCCCATTTGAAAATTAAGAGTTGGGGTCCGTTTCTCCCCAATGGATCCCCTGAAAATTTTAGGGGGCCAAAAAGTAGCTCCCTTTGACCTAGGAACATCCCCTAAGTTTCAAATCTGTACCTCAATCGGTAAAAAGTTAGAGGGGGTGGAAGGGACTTTTGGATCATCCTGTACATCCGACACAATGTGGCAGTCAGGATTGTTGAACAACGAATAAGTCAAATGATTGAAACCACTACAGAAACACTGAAAAAACATCATTTCAGGCTCTGTTTGTACCCAGAGAGCACAAACTTGGCAAATTCTCTATCAAAATTCTGAAACTTATCGTTAGTAATTTAATTAGAGATAAAATACACAAAAACAATACATACATTCGATTATGACCCAAAAAATGGTATCCGGAAATGCCACGTTTCAGCAAAGAAAAAATCGTGGTGGATAATCGAGGCTCTACTATATTATTACTACTTGTAATACAACTACTTGTGCTTGTACTTGTTGCTTTTGCTTGTAATATAAATAAAGAGGATGAGAGATGTACTCTATTCTAAAGTTGAAAATAATTTTTACATTTATTATTTATTGGGAACAGCAATGAGAGGATACATGGTTATAAAAAGTGATTAAAGATGGATCGTGATCTCCACAAACACTATAGCGAAAAACTTATGAGTTTAATAAATGAATAGATGAATAAATGAGTCACCTGATTCTCAAGGCGAAGAACTTGCTGACGATGAGATTGCTCTCGAGCATCCAACAATCTCTCCGCTTGAAGGTGAGCTGATCGATACCTTTCTATATCACCACTCCTTTCACCCCCAAGTTTACAGCTACAGACAAAAATTAATATAGAGTCTAAATTATGAAAGTAAGAGGCGGGGAAAAAATGTATTCCCTCTCTCATTGAATTGCTTCGAGGACAGAAAATTAAAACCATGATTAGCGCCTTATATCATAAAAACTATTACGGGTGAGAGCAGATAAGATTTTGGCAGTAATCAAATCTCAGATCCCAAAGATGGCCATAGTAAATCAAAAGACTTCATGCATGAATTTTTTTTTCAATATCAGGATAAACTGTGATGAGCAACAAACTTGCAAGCTTGCTAGGATTTTTAGTTTATGAATGATGTATCCGAATCGGATAATAATCAAGTGGATATCATGTTCGATGAGAAGAAATATAAGATTATAAGAACTTAAAAATTATTCATGAACATCAAAACTTGTCTAATTGACAATTTCATGGTGGAAACTGTGATAATGTTACTATTTGTACAAAATAAAAAACCATTTGAATTTTATAAGGGGTACAGAAGTTTTTATTCTTGGGGTGGGAATAAACTTCAAAGTTTTCTAAAAAAATTATTCACTTACTTAGCATGTTCTGCCCTTAGTCTTGCTAGTTCCACTTCCTTGTCTGCAAGTTGAGTTTCTAGACGGCAACATTTGGCCTTCATTTCGCGCAGTTCATTGTCCACAGTGTATGAGCTGTCTGCATCTATTCGTTCATAACTTATGCCTTGAAGTTTCCTTTCAAGATTTCGTTTTTCACTTTCTAAGTCTCTCACCTGGAAAACAAAGATAAGAAAGTAGCAGACAACAAAAATCTTGAAAAATGTAATTACATGAGTGTCAAAATGTTTGAAAAATTTGATAGGAATGATATGCTTGTTGAATCTCCCACTTTCTCTGTGAAAAAGAATTCAATTTTTTGCAGAGCTTGATCAAGTTCTAATAATCTTGTTTTTTCCCATCTCTAAATTAAATTTTCAACACCTCTAAGGAGACATAAAATCAATTTTGAAAAACGTTTTCGAGAAGTAACTTTTAACAAAGTTATGTTTGGCTGAAATCTTCAATCACACTTTCTGTCCAATTTTTTTAGAGTAATATTGGAGTTGCAATTTACGGTTGCTGCCAAGTTCAGAGCCTGAGGGGATTCTGTAATGTACAAACACATTGAAGAACAAGCTAATTGTGACCACTAAAATTAAAAGTCTATAAATGAAAGATTGAAGCCATTGAATCAATTACATAAGTACCTTATCTTGCAATGAATCAACTTTGAGTTTCAATTCTGCTCGTTCGGCAGAATGCCTGTCACTTGACTGTTGTGTTGAAGCCTCTGCTGGCCAATTACTGAGTCGCAGCTGTGCTTCAAGACTATGTCTCTGCAGCTCTAGATTATTTATCTCAGACTTTAACCTGACAAGCTGATCTGATTGCAACTCATTGTTACGTCGCTGTTCTGTTACTGATTGCTGCATTGCTTCCAGCCTTTCACTGAGTACACGCCTCTCATTTTCGCTGTTCATCAGCGCTTTCTGAAGCTGAGGACAAACAAAAAATAACAGAGTTTTTAAATAAGGGCGATATTGATTGTTAGATGAATATATTTAAAGTTTATTATGGACTCGATTTATTCAAACAAACATTTTAAAAATGTACAGTTTTTTTCAAACAAAAAATAGCAAAAATCACATGTTTTCACCGGCACAAAGAGGCTATTGGTACCCAAGCTCAAAAGAGGGTTCTTATTGCATTCATCACTTTTTCGTTATTTTTTGGAGAACTCATATAAATCAGTTGCAATTGAGGAAATAAATAGGGCATCCGTTAGATAATTGATACAGTGGAAATCGGATACATCGGCCCTCTAGGGACCGGCCTGATTTGGTCTTTATATCCAATTGGTGTTATAACCATGCACAAATACACTGAGTCAATGGGAAGTCAATCATGGGTGCAACCAGATCGCACGTCGTTATGCCCGATACCTACCTCCGTCGTTACGACCAATACCTACGTTGTTATAAGCGATATCATAATATCCAATTTCCACTGTAATTAATTTCCCCCCAATGTCAGCCTAAATGGGGCAGCACTGCAGCAGGCATAAAGTCAGAGTGCTTAGTGCCAGATTGTACAGGAATACAGGGCAGTGCTGCAGTCGATGTTTTGAACACAATTTTGATGAGTACAAAACCAAAATCTTATAAATACACATTTTTTTTTTTAAATGAAACAAAAATTTGCTGTAAAAAATTGTAGAATTATGAATGCACGACATTATTTCAAATGGTTGATTGTGAGAGTCTGTTACCTGTTTGAACTTTTCAGTTGATGCTTGAGAGGTAGCAGATGTGTCTGTCAGAGTGCGTTGAAGTGAGGAAACTTCGTGGCGTAACTCTGACTCAGAGAGTGCAGCAGATTCTAACGTGATTGTTAGTTGTTCAACAGTACTCTTTAGTGATGCACAACGTTCTTCTAAACATGCAATCGTACGACTTTGGGACTCACATCGTTCGTTCAGTTTCTACGGATTCAACCGACCAAAAAAATAAGAGAGAAAGAGTTAAAATATTCTTCAAAAATAGGAGATAGGGAACAAGATAGGTAAAGTCATACATGGAGAAAAAATGTTTTTTTCTTTACTTTTATACTATAGCCAAGAAGCAGTTAAATGTAGCAGAAAACAGAGACCGTCAGAGGCAGAGTATTAAGCGCACAATGCATTTTATTTTTAAAACAAGAGCACTATGAGGATGGAGAGAGAAATCAAATGACTTTTTAAATTATTTAATACAATTTTAAGATGTAATGAAGAAGGTAGGCGCTATCATAGCTTGGAGGGGTTTAATTTTTGCATCCACTTTCAGGCAACAAAAAGGTTTCATTTTGCCTTAAAGGCTAGCTTACCCTTCCAAATTTTTTTGCATTGACCTAGAGGCACCTTGTAGGTATTACAATCGTATTTTTCTCACCGAAATAGTGCTATCTCTTTCCTGAAGTGCAATATGCATCCTCTGCAGATCTCCTTCCAAAGCTACGCGCTGCAGTTCTAGCTTCGAGGCTCTTGCTTCAGTGCGGCTAAAGTCTTCTTGCAATTGTTTCTTCTCATTTTCTAGACGAAGCACTGATCCACGGGCTCTGTCTAACCGATCCTGAAATATAAAAATACAACAAGGTGGTGTGTTCAGCTCAACACTCTCCCTCCTCAGTTTTGTACTGGTAGTCATTAAAGCTATGAAAGGAAAAGGGAAAGCTACAGGAAGCTACGGGAAGGAAAGCTATTGCTATGTTAAATAGGATTCTTAGGGATCAAAGTATCTCGCAAGAAAAAAAGAGATTGATTTATGACACCATAATCAAAAGCATTTGATTTATGACACCATAATCAAAAGCATTCTGACCTATGGCAGTGAAGTATGGCCCATGAAAGATCGTACCCAAAAGATTCTTAAGGCAACTGAGATGGATTTCTGGCAAAGATCAGCCGGAATCTTGAGAAGGGATAACGTGAGGAATGAAAGAGTGCGTAAAATGATGAACGCCGAGCAGAACATCGTGCATGAAATTATGAACAAACAGGTTGTCTGGTATGGTCATGTTCAAGGAGTGGCGGATGACGGATTGCCTAAGAAGGTGCTAGATTATGGGTTCCGCCTGGAAGGAGACGTAGGGGACGTCCAGCAAAATCGTGGATAGGTGGCATTCAAGATGTTACAAGATGTCATTTACCTGATGATCTCTGGGTCGATAAACAAGAATGGCGATCAGGCGTCGCAGAGTGTACAGGTGCAAAAGCGACTTGTATGTATGTACTTATTAGAGCTCAAATTTTTTACTATGATTGAAACTTTTGGACTTTTTTGGTCCTGTTTTCCCTGCATAATAATGTGGACCCAGCACTACTTACCACCTTGTAACATACAGTTTGGGCCACGTTTCTAATGTTTTTTTTTTCTTGTATAAAAATACACTTTATCGTGACTTTTTCGGGACCAAAAGAAATGTATTATGCATTATTTTATGACTGAGAGTCATTCAGTGCTTTTTACAGGGTACCTACCTTGGGGTGCGGCTTATTTTCGTCAAGTCGGAAAATCGACGAGGTCCGGGTGGCAATTGGTGCTTTCTATAAAAATAATAGGCTGTATTAAATTTAAGCCCATTTGACGCTTTTTTAGCTGATTCTCAAAGGGATCAAAACTACGGGGCAAAATTACATTTGTTTAAATGGGCGGAAAAACGTTTGATCTGCGAAAATGCATTTTTTGAAACTAAAATGTGCTTAAATGAAGAAAACCTGACCAGCTCTCAGAGAGGCGTCAAGAGGCTCATTCGAAACAAGAAAATCACATTTTTAACCCATGAGTGGGGACAGGGGGGTCACGGCGTAGCCGGTTTTGAGGCGCTAAGTGAAGCTAAGTGATCGCTTTTAAGACTTTCTGATCAAACTCAAAATAAGTGTTCCGAAGTTAAAGAGGCAAATGAATCTCACAACTTGATGAGAAATAATGTATAACAGTTGTTTTAGCCCTTGAGAACTATACTGGGCGCTTTAAAATGTTGCCTTTCATGCTATTTCTCAAGCCTGGAACAAAATTGGTGTATATATTTTATCTTGCACTCGAGTGATCCTTCCTACCCACACCCATGGGTCAAAAGTGTGATTTTCTCGTTTTGAATGAGCCCCTGGATGCCTCTCTTGGAGCTGGTCAGGTTTTCTTCATTTAAGCGCATTTTAGATCCAAAAAACGCATTTTCGCCGATCAAGCGTTTTCCCGCCCATTTAAACCAATGTAATTTTTCCCTGTAGTTTTGATCCCTTTGAGCATCAGCTAAAAAAGCTTCAAATTGGCTCAAATTTAAAACAGCCCATTATTTTCATAGATAGCACCGATTGCCACCCGGACCTCGTCGATTTTCCGACATGACGAAAATAAGCTGCACCCTAAGGGTACCTACAGGATTTTGCATGAATTAAAAAATTTTGAAAATTTTCCGGCCATGTTGTTTTAATAGGTGATAATGAAAAACCCTGATCTAAAGATTTGCCAAGTCCCAAATCTCAATGATTTAGAGACATTTTCTGGCCTCAAAAACCCGATCATTAAAGTTAAAGATTTTTATTGATGTAGTAATCTTTAGAAATCTTCCAGATATCCTGTTTTTATAATCTATAATTATCAGAGACGGATTAAGCAATTTGGTTACACAGAATTTCCTCCATTTAAATCTATGCTAAATAATCGATTCTTGTCAGAGTACCTGGCCCCTCCAAGAAGCAATACATTTTCATAGGTTTGAATGGGGGGAAAAACAATGTTGCTAATTTGCTGGATCCGCGATGATACTTGTGTAAAATATAAAAAGTTTTTCCTCTGGTGAAATGGTAAAAAATAAAGTCTTGAATGACATATAAATTATGAAGTATCACCAATTCAGCACTCTATCAGCAAGTATATCATCAAAAAATATAAAAAATATTGACAGGAGATTTTGATGAATAACCTCACTGTTAGTATATTTGACACAATATATTAACAAAAAGTAGCACTTTCCAAATGGTGTTCATAACTTTTGAAAGTGCTTATGGACATCAATTGTTTATTGGCACTTTTGTTTGTTGAACAGTGTCAATTTCGTGCGATTCCAGTCAGTGAAGAACCCACATAAAATATAGGAATAAAACTAGATAAACAAAACAAAAGAAAATGGCTAGAAATTTCAACTTACCTCGAGTTGTCCTTTTTCTTCAAATCCACTTTGAAGAGACATCTCCAGAGCATTCACTCTTTCAAGTGCTGATTCTAACTCTACTTCTTTCTTTTGAAGAGCTTCAGCCTAAAAAAAAATAAATATATATTACTTGATGAGCAGATTTTCTTCAGAGAGGATCTTGTTCTGCTTTGCTAGGTGCCTTGGTTTTTTCTCCACTTAATAGATATATTCAAACTACAATATTTTTTTTTTACACAAGTTAGGAAACGGAGCATTTATTTTGGCCCTACTAATTTATTGCAATACATTTTAGAAAAAAAAAGAGTGAAGATGGGCTTTCAAAAATCTTTTTTTGTCCACATTCTAGTGGATTAAATTTTATGATCTTCAGTTTATTTACAACTCAGAGGGTGACAAATAAAATTAGGTAAAATGAGAAGATTTTATAGTGAAATTAAAAATAACGGAAAATAGTAACAAAATATCTAGTTTTTGAAAGTCGGCACCTATCAGGCGTTTTAAATTATGGAAATGTAATTCCTGCAAAATTTGTTACCGCATTACCTGAATGTTTAGTGATGCTTGTTTTTGATTCAACTTGGTCTCAATGTTTGCCTTCTCATCTTGTAATTGACGAACATTTTCCAGAGTGGCACTCATCTTGGCTTCTGTTTTTGTATTACTTTCTGTCAAATCAAGGATCTGTCGCCGCTGACCCTCCAGTTGAGTCTTCAAATCATCCTGGAATGTTATTCAAAACTTAGAGATAGGTATAGGGAATTTACTTAGACTGATTGTCAGAAAGAGCGCTTTGGCTAACTTTATTCTTTAAGACGAGATGAAGTCAATAAAGAGGATGAAAAAGCAGGAATTTTCAGGAGAAGCAAGTTAGAAAAAGTATGAGAGGTAGGCGACAATAAAGAGGATGAGTTGTGGTTAGGAAAGCAGAATTTGATTCAGTATTTTCAATGTGTTTAAAGGAGTCAAACATAGCTTTTACAAAAATTAAATTCAATATAAGGAGTTTATACTCCTTATAGATGCCTGCACATCTCCTTACCCATCTTATGAGAGGCAAGGAGATATGTGAGGAAAGAGGAAAGCTTCAAGTACTACAATGAGCACCATAAGCCTATTATCAGACTATCTCGATGTGATAATTTTCTCTTATTTATTGTCTCTCCTTAAAAATTGCATACCCACACTGAAGCAATATGCAAAGAAGTACAGGGTGTTTCGGACCACCCGTACCAGGCCTTTTTCTCGGTTGTTTTAGGTCGCACGAAGTCGGGGACCGCGGGGTTGAATAGGGAATTGACCCCAAGGAATCTGAATTTCGTGGTCCCGAACCCCCCCCCACCCCCCCTTAGGAGGTAAAGGGGGGGGGTCACGATGAAAAAAGTCACTTTTGCCGACCGAATTGCGGATTAATCGCATCAGAATTGAAAAGCAAGGAAAATTTCACGTAAAATTGACCCCTAAAAATCCATAATCGGCCCATCCAAGGCCCAAAAATGACCCCCTAAAGAGGGCGACAGTACCCCCATCCATAATTTCTCTTTGGTCTCAAAATTGACGTAGATTCTCCAGAAAAAAATGATTTCCCAGGTAATCGACCCCGAGAAATCCAAATTTCATGGTTCCGAAGCTCCTCTATCTCCCCTTGGGGTGTAAACGGGGGGCCCAATTTTACAAATCGGGACTCCTTTCCGAATCGCAAATTGATTGCATCCAAATTGAGGAGCAGAACACATATACATCTTAAGTGACCCCCAAGAGTTCTAATTGACCCCCCTGAACGGCAGAAAGTAACCCCCTGAGGAGGGGGGCTTCGCCATCTCCAAAAATTTCTCAAGATTCATCTTTGGTCGCAAAATTGACGTCGATGCTCCAGAAAAAGACAAGGTTTCAGGTATAATCGACCCCGAGGACTCTGAATTTCATGTTCCCTAAGCTCCGCTACCCGCCCACATGGGCAGAAACCGTCTTTTTCTGGAGAATCGTCGTCAATTTTGCGACCAAAGAGGAATCTTGAGAAATTTTTGGAGATGGCGAAGCCCCCCTCCTCAGGGGGTTACTTTCTGCCGTTCAGGGGGGTCAATTAGAACTCTTGGGGGTCACTCAAGATGTAAATGTGTTCTGCTCCTCAATTTGGATGCAATCAATTTGCGATTCGGAAAGGAGCCCCGATTTTTAAAATTGGGCCTCCCGTTTACTCCCCAAGGGGGGATAGAGGAGCTTCGGGACCATGAAATTTGGATTTCTCGGGGTCAATTACCTGGGAACCGTCTTTTTCTGGAGAATCTACGTCAATTTTGAGACCAAAGAGAAATTACGGAGGGGGGTACTGTTGCCCTCTTTAGGGGGTCATTTTTGGGCCTTGGATGGGCCGATTATGGATTTTTAGGGGTCAATTTCACGTGAAATTTTCCGTGCTTTTCAATTCTGATGCGATTAATTCGCAATTCGGTCGGGAACAGTGACTTTTAGCATTCCCCCTTAGGGGGTAAAGGGGGGGGGGGTTCGGTACCACGAAATTCAGATTCCTTGGGGTCAATTCCCTATTCAACCCCGCGGTCCCCGACTTCGTCCGACCTAAAACAACGAAGAAAAAGGTCTGGTACGGGTGGTCTGAAACACCCTGTATAGCAGACTTCATTTAGAAAGAAAAAAATTTGTCTAAAAATGGCTAGAATCACAAATCCACAGTGAAACTGCAAAAATGCAAACCTTGTTTGCCGTTTATAATATCTTCTCTCTCATTCTATTACATCAAAGCAGAACGAACCAACACTGCTGTTTGAAACTTTCACTGAATATATATTATAAAAAAATCAGAATCAAGGAAGTTTTCAAAAAATAATGTTGAGTTTTCTACATCAAAAGTAAGTTGGCAGCGTTTCCAACAGAGTGTAGCCTGTGCCACACTATCAAAATACTCCATCAAGCTAAAATTAATCTTACTAAAAGTTCCAAACCAAGATATCAAAAATAATTAATTACTAACCATTCAATAAAAAATCCAAGAAAAGGTGGAAACCCAGAAATTCTTAAACCATAAATGAAAATTATAATTTTTCTATTCAAATTTATAGAATTAAACTTAAATTGGTTGATATAAAAATACTATATTTAGACAGCATACTAATTAATCAGAAGAACATGGTTGTATAGCCTATAAAATAAAAAAGAAACAAGTTTAACCTCATTCTTATACTGTAGATAAATCAGCAGATGGTAATCACGGAACTATAACCTATCATTTTTTGAATTATACTATTTTAAAACTTTGAACATTAATTTTATTTTAGTTTAAAAGTTAGAAATTATATGAAATGTATATAAGTCTAAAATTTGACAGACCTAAAAATTTAACATTTAAAATTTAAAAATTAGAGCAATCTACTAAAAGAACTTATTTAAATTCCAACAAATTAGGTGCCAGCAGTTGCAGTAAAACCTAGAGTTAGCTAACTAAATATTTAAATGCATTATATCGATTATAAAAGATATTAATAAAACAAATTATAAATAAGTGTAATAGGCCAGACAGATAAAATCAAATTTGCCGCCGATCGGGTTCCGTCCACTCTCTGCTCACTAAAGCAGCGCCTCTGGTGGAGAGGGAGTGGACGACGCCTGATTGGTCGTCGAGTTAGTTAGCCAAAGACCGCGCTTACCCTCAGAGAGCATGTAAGTTTTCCCCAGTTTTCACCCCTTTGGGGTGTCTTAATCTTTTAATCTCTCGTGATGTGACGGAGTGCGCGGTGGTGGCCGGCGGGCCACTTCGACCCCCGTAAACCAATGGCTTCTCCTTTTTTTACCCTTTACCGTCCTCTCCGACCGAGCCTCGGAGGCTCGATCCGGATGGGCCTCCGAGGCCCCATCGGACTGCGATTTGTGTATTTCTCTTTTGTTGTATTGGATCCCCAAGCCATTACATTCGTAAAATTTTTAAAATTTAAAATAAAATTTTAAAAAATCTTTTCAATAAAAATAACAGCAACTGCTGGCACCTAATTAGTTGAGATTGCTCTAATTTTTAAATTTGAAATGTTAAATTTTTAGGTTTGTCAAATTTTACACTTATTAAAATGTCAAGATCAAGTGCTGTGATTGGTTCAAGTCATCGAATATCAGCCAATCACAACACCTGACCTTGATAGTGGGGTCGCTCAGGGTCAACACAGTTCAAATTAGGCTACCAGCATGAAACTTGGTGAAAATGTAGAACCGAAATCCATCGAGACACAAGCTGGATCTCCCATGGCTCCCCGTATTTTGGTCGCCATTTTCCAAGATGGCCGTCATAAGCTGATTTCCATTATTATCTCATTTTTCAGGCGTTCTAAAGTTTCAGTTAACATGAAATTTGGCAGGAATATACTTGAGTGTGTCTAGCATGAGAAAAATTTGACATTTAAGTCTAGTTGGCCATTACCCTTACTATTGGCCGCCATTTTGAAAATTAGCGGTTTAGCGCTGTTTCTCCGCGGTGCATTAGATTTTCGCGGCTGTGTTGCAATGAGATGTATGAGATTTGGCAGGATTATGTATAAATATGTTCAGAACAAAAATCTATCGAGACCTAAGTTCAGCGGCCATTTTTACCCAGGCTAAAGGCCGCCATCTTGGAAATTAACAGCCCAGTTTAGGGCTGTTAATTTCCAAGGCTTAAACCTTCTCCAAGGTTTCTCAGATTTGCGTGGCTGTTTTGCAGCTAGACGCGTGAATTTTAGCAGGAATATCCATGAGTGTGTTGAAAATAGAAATTCACCGGGACCCAAGTTTGGTCAGCCGTTTTACCGCTGAACATGGCCGTCATCTTGGAGAAAAGCGATCTGCCCTGTACCTCCGGAGTTTGTCGGATTTTCGTGGCTGTTTTGCAGCTTTATGCATGAAACTTGGAATGAGCACGTGTAAATATGTAAGGCACCAAAAATCCTGAGATTGAAATGCAGTTATCTGTACCCCGGTTTATGGCCGCCATCTTAAGAATGAGCAATGAACCTATGTTTCTCCGAGGTATCTCGGACTTTAGTTACCCCGTAGCAGCCAGATGTACGAAATTTTGAGGAATACACGTGAATATGATCGAAAATAAGAAACCTCGAGACATGCGTTTGGGGGATTGACAGGTATTTATTTCAGAGAAGAATGGAAAAACAAGAAAATTTAATCACTTTACCGTGCCTAATTATTTTTTTTAAAAAAATCACAGTCGAGAAGTTATGATATTGGATGAGATATATGTATTGTCTGTTTTGCATTGTGGTTTACTATACGTTTTCTAAATTAACAGCTTTTAAGTTCAAGTTTAAAGTATACAATTCAACATGTTATTATTGTAAACATTACAAAAAGTAAAAATAACCTGACAAATTTTGAAAAATTTTTCGAATTTAAAACAATTTTGACTAGGAAATTACTGCGGGATCGAAAAATTGTTTATGGTGGTTGTGTATTGCATTGAACTGCAGGAAATTTTCTAGCATTTCTTAAAATACTATTTTAGCACCTTTTAAAATTGAAGTTAAAGAAAACAAGGAGCCCATAGCGCAGGAATTTTGGAACTCATTTGGTACCTAACAGTCTTTTAAAGAAACAAACCATGAAATGTTTTACATTTTTTTGGAAATCAACACACCGTACAAAGTACAAAAAAACCCTAATATTTGGAAAAATTCAAATCCTTTGTTCGAGCAGGCTGCACTTCAGAACATTAGAACATGTTTTAATAG